GAGTTCAGTAGGGCTGCAGCACTTCTGTTGTGGTTTGTTCACGTTATCTTCAGCAGAGAGTCTGCAGATCAGAGGTGAAAAAGCTCTTTGTTCAGGGACATGTTTTCCACCCGGAGCTGTTTTTTTGGTTTGTGTTTAAACACAACATATTTGTCTCTTAAATGTGGTATGTAAACTGGTAACATCCTCTGTGGAGGAGTACAGCATATTTGTTGAATCTTGTGACAACAGCAGAAGAGAAGATGTTGAACATCCAGCAATTACACTATGGATATGAAAACAGTCAGATTTGTTTTTTAATCATAAAGAACAGCTGACTAGCCGTTTGTCTTCTACCTCAATATTCAGTTCTCGACAACATAAGACAATATGACCAATACAGACTATAAATGATGAACATTTTTCCTGGGATAATTTCAGGAGAACTTCTCAAGTAAAATCTAGTTATTTCAAATAAGTAAAATATCAGAAAAAAAAATGTAAAAAAAAAAAAAAAAAGAGGAAGAAAGCAAAACAGAAGTTTGACTGGTAATCTTGTACCTATTTGTAAGTCAGTCAGCTGACCGGCAGTGTGCAGTAATTATTGGAAGTGCACTAATTGGAGTCTTTTGGCCACGCATCGATCTTTAAAAAGCCTGACTCTGTTTTTGGCTGATGTTGATTTTTTTTTTTTGACTGAAATGTTGATAAATATAGAAACAAAGTTGGCAAGTTGTCAACAGTGGAGTGAGTATTGTAGGAAAAGTGTCAGTCGGCGCTCTCACACTTCAGAGTGAAATGGGACATACAGAACATGCCAGCCAATCACTGGCCTCCCAAAACTAAGTGGATTTCCTTTCCAATTATTATGGGGACTTCAAACCCTTGGAATGGTATGATGAAAAATTTGAGCAGTTTTAAAATTGTCCTTTGTTGGTTTGCCTCACTTAATTCACACTGCTGAACCAGTTTGTTATATCTTCAGGCTCCTGACTAAGCAACAAAGCGTCTCTTTGAGCCTCGTGGGCTGGGCAACTTCTCCAGCTTCATTTTTAAGTGATCAGGCTACTGAGTTTCCTGCAGAAAACTTGCTAACCCTGGTGGTCGGGACACTGAGATGGTCCACTGGTGCTCCACCATGTTTTTGCCAGTGAAACGGTATTTAAAGCCACAACTAATCTTAAAAGCAACAAATAAAAAATACAATTAGAATGAATATTGTTTATTTGCCCTTCTGTTTAATCCAAATTCAGTCAGCGGCTTCATAAGGCTCCCTAGGGGTTCAAATGCCAATATTTTAACACAGACAATAAACAAATGACACATAAATGTAACATTTTTTTATTGAGATTATCAATGCTGCTAAATTTGATTTAATGGTTTCAGCATACATAGATTAAAATATTTTAAATTGTTTAACATTAAATCTAAGATTTTAAGGAGCTGGCAAGTTTATTTTGTAAATGTTCAAAGAACAATATTCATTGATTGTTTTGTTACCATAAGTACAATTTGATGCTGAGAGTTTATCTTTGAGTTTGAGCTCTGTTTGTTCACAAATGCAAATTAGTAAACACAGAAGCTGTTAGAGGTGCTGATGATTTTAGCAGCAAGAGGGGCCCCTAAGTCAAATTCTGCTCCAAACCTCATACAGCCTTGGACTGGCCCTCCATGATAATTAAAACCGCTGCACTGAGCAGAGATGCACAACAGACAGAGATTTAATTGTTGCTTCTAATGTGGATTCAGTAGCTCCTCCATTTCCAGTTTGTTGAGGTTTTAATAAGCTCACAGTAACTGTTTTGGTTGCTCAAGTTTATGCGACAAGTTTTTCTGATCCCCGTGTGGCTCCGCTCACTAACTGGCTGACTAAGTGGACAAAGCATTTGATATGATTTGGTGCATGTGTAACTAAAAAGAATAATACTAAAAAGAATAATATCGTAATGTAAAGCCAGCATGATGGGTGACTAACCTCTGGCTCGCGCTAGCTAGCGCCAACCACATCATGCATGTTCGTGTATGGATGCATCTCAACAAGCTGGGGTGCATGCTGAGATGTAAACACCGCACATAATTCTTCATTCACAAAGATAAATTATTCTCATTCTCAGCATTCTCTGAAAGCTATTCCTGCGGTTCACATTGAGCTGCAAAATCAGAGCTAATGTGGAGGGGTTTATAGTTTAAACTCTCACCTTGATTTGGAGTTCAAAAAAGAAAAATAATTCCACACTTGTGGTTGATGTAAATATCCATACAGGTCATACTGTGTCCAGTTTGAGTGAAAAGAGGTGTGCGATCCGCGCTGAGATCAAGCAGTTTTGATTGGTCCACTCTCCCGGCTTTAAATGCATAAATGATGAATTTATCTTTTAGGAATAAATTTACTCCGGCAGTGAAATGCTCAGACCAACAGAGACACTTGTAATCCGAATAAAATATAAAATAAAAATATGTATTTATTATTATTATTATTAATTTTTCTAAAAACAAAAGTAAATATTGTTTGGACTGGCAAGGGGCTAGTAAAGCATGGCGGGCTGCGAGGCTTATAATACAAAACCTTGGGCTACATTCCACAGACAATTCTACATGTCCCTTTGGGAACTGCTGTTGTTACATAAATTTTTGCTGGAGCTCCAACGCAGGTTGCTGCTTGTTTGAAAAAGATGTAGTGGGGTACCCTTGCAGGGTGACGTCATGTTTTCCACCACTTGCTCTGCTGCTTGGTCATTTTCTGACCGCTGTCACCAGATGCATGTGCTACCGGATCATCATTCATGGTGGTGAACAGTTGAGGGAGGCCAGAAATGTTTGTGTAATCTCCTAATTTGTTGGGTTAGGATGCAGAAGTTTCTGAATTGTTTGTCTCTTTGAGTTTTCACCTCCGACTGGGAACGGGTTTCATAACAAAGACAAAAACAGAGAGAAAAATGGATCTGCATTTTTAAAAATTCATAGAGATCTATTTATTGGCATGTTTGCTTGGGTGAAAACAGAGTGAGAATGCATATTTTAATGCATTAACATAAAAATATGTGAACGCAATCTTTAAATCGTTTTGATCATGTTAAACCAAAGTTTGAACAACTTAAGACTTAACAGAAAAACAAAAACAAAATCTGCATGGTGTAAAACCCAAGGTAACACCAGGCACAAGGTATGATTAAACACTTTATGAGGCCTTAGAGCAACACTGAATTAAGCAGATGAAATGATAATCACTCTAATGTTCATCTTCAAGTGGCTTTTCATTCCCAAAGTAATCTTTTTTTTTCAATTCAAATCGTCTTCCGTTCATAATAGTTTCCTCTCAGTGGAATATCCGTTCACCATCCTCGATGCTGGACTCCAAACACGTTTATTCATGTATGTTTCCAAAGTTCAACTTTTGCTTCATATGTGTTTCTCAGTTAGAATCACATGGTGACTAAAAACAAACACAGGATTCACAAGTCTACTTCCTGTTTGTGTCTGTATAATAATACAGACTTCAAGCGTTGTAGATGACATTCATTAGTCAACAAATTCTTTTAACGTGATGAGGAAAATGACGTCGTACAAAAAAATACTTGCAGACTGTTTTCGGCGCGCTCATTCTGTCTTTTCCTTGATTTGTGAAACTTTTGCCTCCCTGGGAGCTTGGCAAACATCTGCCGACACTAAAAGACTTTTCTTCCTCATACCAAGTGAGTCTGGAGCGAGATGTACAAATATATAAACCCAAATTAGAAGGGTTTTTTTTTTTTTCAATTTTGGCCTTAATTGAAATATTTATTTGTTTTAAAAACTTTTAGTTATGGTTTTATAAATTCCATACTGTTTAAGAATATGATGTCAAGAAAAACAAAGGAATTTTAAAATAATGTCAAAAGTTTTTTGTTTTTTTAATTATTATTATGTGTCATGTTTTCCAGACTGATCTCTTTTTACCAAATTAAAAATGAAAGTTGTCTATGATCTTAGCTTTATTTGTATATGGAGTCCATGGTTCTATCCTTCATGAATATCTCCATTACCAAGTCGTAAAAACAATCATTATTTTTTAAAGTTTGCCTCATTGTGCCTAAGTAAGTGCTTTTTATTTATTGTTATTTCTTGAGTTTTATTTTGAATGTTTAAAACATTTTCTCGTTCCAGTGTGTAGTGTTCATTACTAAATTAAAGTCTATTGGTCTTGGGAGAGTGACCTTATGACATTATCAATTTATTACTTGAAAATGATCCCAATTTAAAACTATTATTGTTTTAATAATTTATTCTCTAGCAAAATTTGTTATTGTGACAGGGCTCTGGCTTGTTTAGCTGAAGAAGAGAAACGGTGTCAATTTGTATGGTATGAAAATTGTATCAGATATCAGCCCAAATGTTCATAGGTGTGCATTCCTAATTGAAACAGCCAATTTATAAGTTCTGTAATTTGACCCTTTAAATGTTGAAATTATGCTGAAAACAAATTCATAGGTCAATCAAGTGAAGACCTATCCTATTATCATATTTTAGTTTTCTGAGGCACGTCACTAGGTGGAACGTTTTCCTCCAAAACGTTGACCTGTGAAGTAGCATCTGGCTGGATCCAACTGAACTAGTTTCTAAATAACTCAATCTCGAAAATAAAAAAAAAAGTTGCTTGAACAGCAAAAGCGTACTGACAACCAGAAATGATTTTCATGTTATCACCTGTAAGGTAACCAGTGGATCGGCACGTGTGACTGATGCTGCAGTGACGCTCTGAAGCGTCATTTTGTGTTGATGCCTGTTGAATCACGTGATGATTCAACAGGCATCATGCTGCACTGATTCTAGCCTGCAGCAGTGTCCAAACTGCAAATCCTCCAAACAGTGAGGGTATTTAGGCTTGATTGTTGTTAAACGATGCTAACGAGTCAGAAGTCTGTAACCATCAACAGAACACAACTTTATGAATGATGCAGGCAGACATTAAACTTTGAAGTGGACTGTCACAGACCAATGCTTTATTTTAACATGCCTTCTTCCTGTGTGTGTTTGTGGCACAGGAGCACCTCAGAGCGGCGTAAGGAGAAGTCACGTGATGCGGCGCGCTGCAGGCGGAGCAAAGAGACAGAGGTGTTCTACGAGCTGGCCCACCAGCTGCCCCTGCCTCACAGCGTCAGCTCCCACCTGGACAAGGCCTCCATCATGAGGCTGGCCATAAGCTTCCTGCGCACACGCAAGCTGCTCACCACAAGTACATTCACACAAACTGCTGTTACACGCATTTATATACAGGTGGAAGTTGCAGAAAGGGAAACATGCAAACACCCTAATTGTATGCGACTTATGGTCAACCCATGTTGGACGGCTCCTACGGATCCTCCTCTATTTGTAAGATTAGAACCTGAGGAAATTCAACAAAAGCAGCAGACTTATTTTTCTTCTGCTTTTGGTGTCTCAGAACAAGATGTGAGGGAAAACAAATTAAACACCTTGCAACATCATTGGTCAATGTCATTGGCTTTTTTGTTTTTTTAAGGTTTGTTTTTCTCTAACTCTGTGAGTTCAGCTAACCCAGCAGTGGGAAGCTAGGCTTCAGTCTGCGGCGCTCAAAGGAAATAAAACGTCCAATTGTTTATTTAACAATCTGCTGTTGGTTTCTTAAGGACGTTAGTTGGAAAGGTTTAAACAGATTGAGATAACTGTCATTCGATCATTTGGGTACAAGAAAGAGAAAAGAATAAATGGAAATTGAGTTTGGTACCATGATAAAAAAATATATATATCATTTATTGTTTGTCTCCACTTTTTAATTATACTCTTTCACACTGAAGCTCAATAAAATGCACTTAAATCTGCTATTGTATTGTGACACTACATGAAAAATAGTTCACACATTGTGAATACTTTTACACTGCAATATCCTAGTTCAACTTTTTTGATTTATTGCTAAGGTGTTTTTTAATATTTGATATATATTTCCATCTAAATTAATTAATACTCTTGAAACCATGTCTCACCGTTGAACAATTTCCAGCAATATACAACCTAAATACTCCATAGACAGTTATATTTAGAGTGATAAATGTTTTTTAACATAAGTCAGATGCCTTTTTAGAGAAGTGGTTTCCTGTACTTAATGATGCCAATTTTGTACAGCTCTAAACAATAACCAGCAGCTCAACAATTCACTCTTATAACAACATGTCAGCAAAACAGGAAATTGTTTTGATTTACACAAGAGCTTCATGTTATCTATAAATCTTTATGGCCATGTTTAATGTGCCATCATTCTGCTCCTATGTGCCTGTCCATGTTCTGTTTGTGTAATGAACTGCTTTGCATTGTGTGCAGAGGATACAGGCGATGCTTTCTTAACAAAAAGCCATCACTGCTTCCCATAATTTGATTTGTTCACCTTCATTAATCAAGAAGGGAATTAAATTACATTAAGAAGGAGTAAATCACTTTGACATAGAAGTAATGGAGAAATTACATTTCATGGAAAGAAACGTTTAAATTATTTTAACACCGTTATAAATAGCAGCCAGAATATATGGTAACTTTTTTTGTGTCGTCATAGGTCAATTTTATTTTACTCCTGACCTGAGCTTCATGGAGCCTGTGAATAATTACACAAATGTAATTTCTTGGTTTACTGTTTTTAATAAATTTATAAAACACAAAAAAAAAACTTTCCACATTAACATAGCAGGATATTTGCATGTAAATCTTTGCGGAAAGAGTTTATTTTCATACAACTCGTATTAACACTCAAAAAATAACTGAATCCAGCCAAAGCTACCTCATGAGGGTATGGCAACATTTCTAACATTTTTCTTAGGTTAAGCTTTAGCTAATAGCAACGTTAGTATAAACCTAACAGTTTGATGTCGGTGTGTGATTTGTAGATTCTTAAAGGGCCTTTCTAAAGTGCTGGTACAATGATGACATAAATGTGACAAACGTTTGTCAAAGTTATCAAGATTAGGATTTGTGTCTAGAATTCTGAAGAAAGATTAATTTGGAATAAGACTGTAGCAAAAAAAATTAAAAATGAAGTGCTAATACGTTCCAGATGTAGAGCATCACAGCTGTAATCCTCCACTTGTGAAAGCCAATCTGTTGGGTTCAGCTTGGTACTGTGACAATAATTCTGAGTGCTACACTGCCAAGAGGACACAAATAAAAATAAATAAGTAAAGATACCTGCTTTTGAACCCTCTGCTGGCAGTCAAACATCGGGGCGCCATGCAAAACTTGTTGAATTTTGAATTACAACGCAATTTAACCATCTTAATTTAAGTTTTCTGAAATTCAAGTTCAATCACTACGTTGATTACAGGAACTTTTTTAAAGAAGGAGAAGGAGGAGGTGGGGGGGAGAGAGGTGAGCAGGAGGAAAGACGAGAAAGTGGAGGAGCGAAGGCGATGAGGGCAGAAAGAAGTGTGAGAGGGCAGGAGAGGGCAGGAGAGGGCAGGGGAGGGCAGGAGAGGGCAGGGGAGGGCAGGAGAGGGCAGGAGAGGGCAGGGGAGGGCAGGAGAGGGCAGGGGAGGGCAGGAGAGGGCAGGAGAGGGCAGGGGAGGGCAGGGCAGGGGAGGGCAGGAGAGGGCAGGAGAGCGCAGGAGAGGGCAGGAGGGCAGGGGAGGGCAGGGGAGGGCAGGAGAGGGCAGGAGAGGGCAGGGGAGGGCAGGGCAGGGGAGGGCAGGAGAGGGCAGGAGAGGGCAGGGGAGGGCAGGGGAGGGCAGGGGAGGGCAGGAGAGCGCAGGAGAGGGCAGGAGAGCGCAGGAGAGGGCAGGAGAGCGCAGGAGAGGGCAGGGGAGGGCAGGAGAGGGCAGGAGAGGGCAGGAGAGCGCAGGAGAGCGCAGGAGAGGGCAGGAGAGGGCAGGAGAGCGCAGGGACATCCAACCGATACAGCTGCTGATAGCGCTATCGTGCCGCTCTGATTACTGCTGATGAGGGCAGATACCGGAGAGGAAGCAGAGCTCTACCCATCGTTCGGCTGCTGCTGGCGCTATCCCCGCTAGCCATAACAGCCGACCGCCGTGGCGCCAAACGAGCCGCCGAGCACGCTCGCACACCGCGCGCGCTGCAACATCCGCGGCTGTCTGAGCTGCGCGTGCAGAGAAAACACCTGGTTACGTAACATGAAGCACTTTGATGAGGAGGAGCTGTTTGACTCACCTGGCTTACACAGGGAACCTGTTTGAAATAAAGTCTTTAACATTTGTTGCGTTTTAGTTGAAAGTTTTATCCAAGTGAATAATAATAATATAAAAAAAAAAATTCTGAAGTAAATTTAACCACTTCTATTTGCATAAAAAATTAATCGGAATCTGTTTCATCAAAGTAACATTATCAGTTGTGTTTCCTTTGACAACTGGACAACATTTCACAAATAAATTTGCTTAATAGAAACACGGCACTTTTGAAAAAACTCGTCTGTAAAATGTTTTGGCGCTAGGATGAGGTGGAATTTTATTTTTTATTTTTTGGTGTATCACGAATCAGAGATGGAAACACTTTTTTCCCATCACACGGGTCACATGAGCAGCACCACGGTGCAAACCACGAAGAATATGACAGGAAGTAGTTGGAAGATGACGGTGGCTTGTTTTCTAATTACTTATTGGTCATGTGGGCTTTTAATTGCATTTCTTATTTAATGGAAACAACAAAATTGTGAAATTGTGCTTTTTTTATATTTGTGGAATGTTGACAAAGTTTTGCACACATTTGTAATGTAAACGCAGCTAGTGATTAAACTCATTGCCTCTTTTCAGAAGCAGGCAAACTGGCCATGCTGTTTTTTTTTTTTTCCATCCAACAGATTTGCTTTTTTCTTAATTTAATTGGACAGAATATACATCATATATGCACAAGAGTTTTGAAATTATTTATCATTGCTTCATTTTAAACCAGATAAAAATATACAAAAATATACTTTTAGAAATGTTATGTAATTTGTTGCACTTGTAGCAGTTGCGAAATGGATCACACAGGACTCAGGATCTGCATCAGTTTATTCATGGACATGGCACACACAACCAGTCAGATCCCAGCAGCTCTACACACAGTTTGGAGGGAAAACTTCAAACAACTTTAAAAGGCAACAGTTTAATTCTAACTGAACCTAAACTTTTTTTTGTTGTTGTTTTTTTTAAGACACATAAATTAACATTATAATTTATGCTGCACAAAAGTGTGAGAACAGTTATGAACATCATAAACATCACTAAGAGTGGGGGTAGCATTAGCACATCTTACCAGCAGCTGTGTAGGAAGCTTCTGCCTGGCTGCTGCAGTTACTTCACAGAACCCACTCTGTGCGACATCAATAACCGCCCTCCCAGAACAACAGCAGGAACCAAAAACAACAGACATGTCATCTCAACAAAAAGAATGTTTTGAGAAGGTTCATAATAATCATAAAAAAATAAATGAATAAAATCAGCTCTGCTACACACTTATCTTTTTAAGGATTTTTAGTATGTTTTTCTGTCTTTGGTGTGAAATCCAGAAATATGAGCCTGAGTCCCCTATTGATAACATCAAGAAACCTTGATGTTATCAAGGCCTCCTGATGTCAGGAGTTAGCGACACACCCTTTCATATTTTCTGCAATTTTCTGCTTTGTGTTACACTTCTAAGCACAATCTCCTTCCTACCGATGTACTGTGCACACAGCAGCAGTACAAATGTCATGAAAGAAGTGGGAGTTATCCGTTTTGCAGCTGTGTGTCAGACTCCGCTCTGCAGCCCATTATTTTCAAATGAGGTCGATTATGCAACCAAAAAACAACAGAGCAGAGAAAAAGTGCAGCTCTGTCCAAATGACTGGTGATCACGGCTAAGTACAATATGTAGGTCAAAGGTGGCACTTACTCTTTGGATCTGGGTCCCAAAGAACTCTGCTCCCACAGAGCAGAGTTCTGCACGAACCGGGCCTGGATCCAAACTTGATCCCCAATCCTCACCGGGAGCCTTGGGAAAGGCTCCCCTCTTATCTCAGGGAAGCACAGAGGAGGAACTGCAAGCTTCCCACCCTCCACCCCACCAACTACTGGGCTTTGTTCAGCTTGAAGCTGCTGTCCAAGCATGCACACACACATACACAGTTGTGCTAGAATTGCTTTTTTTAATATATTAATTATCTTTGTAAGGAAACCTTGAGGACAGACTGGAGTCTCTCTGTGTAAATTTTGTATTTGAAAGTAATTGCTTAATATGTTATCTGTTCAAGACTGGACGATCTCAATTTGGTTGCAAAAGGGGAAACAAACCTATTGCTAAGATTTACGCCAATGCCAGTTCTGATATCAACAACCAGTGACAGAAATAATCTCTTCTCTGCTCCCAGGCCGCAGCAGCTGTGACAGCGAGGAGGACAGGCTCATGGACAATCTGTACCTGAAGTCTCTGGAGGGCTTCGTCACAGTGGTAACGTCAGATGGCGACATGATCTTCCTGTCCGAGAACATCAACAAATTCATGGGCCTCACGCAGGTATACAAGTGCTGTGAGAGAATGGCTTTTTGCTGAATCAGACTGACACAGAAAATGAAGAATTATTAGAAGAATAAACAAACACTAATATCACACTCACACTTTATTTATTTTTGTTTCCAATTTGACTAAATTCGGGTTAAGCATTTACAAAAACAAGAGTTCCATTCTATAAAAAACAAACTTAAGTTTCTGTGGAATAGTCCTGCTTTGTTGCTTTCATAAAAGGCTATATATATATATATATATATATATATATATATATATATATATATATATATATATATATATATATATATATATATATATATATATATTTCTTATTTTAGTTAAGAAAGCTGCTATTAAGCTTTATCACTTGCTTCTAAAGCCAGGTCTGATTCAACTGATACATCTGCTGTCTCCAATAAACTCCATTCTAAATGGTGCTGACCACATTTCAATATGAGGCAGTTTGCTTAAATGGTTATGTTATAACATTAGCATGTTTGCTCTTGGTTTTGATTTGACTTGTTGATCATTCTCCACTTCATTTCACTGTGGTTTTCAGTAATTACATGCAGCAAAAATGTGTAGAAAAAGTTTTTATTGTTATGACTGAACTTGCAAAATACAGCTGCACAGATTACTGGCTCGTGCTGTAGCTCCAACTGCCAAAAAATCAGTGTGTACAACAACATCAGGGATTAGTTTGAGTTTAGTCTGACTAATTATTTAGCAATGCATTAAGAATAACAGTCAGAAAGTGTATCAATATGAATTAAGACAAAACTAAAAAGCCGAAAAACCTTGATTACATTTTTGCTTAAAATGTCTCCAATGACTTGTAAATATGTATTTTGTGATTATGTATTACTATTATTTTAATAACTAGAGAATATTAGCTCAGGCCAACAGAAGACTTCCCTGCAAGGTGTCACACTAACCCTAACCCTTCACTGTGTGAAGTGCTTGTGAGGTCAGCTCTGTGTGCGCTACAGACAGGACAGTTTCAACTTTAAACATTTTTCTTCTTTTCTTGAAAAAAACTTTAAAACCAAATCATCCAAGAACGGAAGTTCATTGTGTGACTTCTGAGCATCTGAAGCCACATGTTTCTGTTTTGGTGCAAACAAGCCAGATTTCTGGAGTTGACATTTTTCTTTTTGTTCCTCACACTAATTATCACACAGTTCTTCCAATGTCTTTATTACAAAATTTATCACTGCTGCTGGCTAATCAGAACAGCTAGTAACATTATTTATATTGACCTAGAGTGTGTGTCACCCCTGTGACAAGGTGGCTTATAATAATGAATATCTGAGGAGCACATCCAAATTTGTAAAGTAGTGCAATGCCTTCATTCTTTCTTGCATGACTGCTGTTTAATTTCCTAATAAAACAGCAAAGTGTAGGCATGTTCACTTGTTTCACTTTCATTAAAATAATGACAGTCAAAAACTTATTTTCAAATTTATAAAAGTGTATTTTAAAAATACGCTTTTATCAGATTACAGTTCAGATTACATAATTTACACAATAAGCAGTACACAGTAAACCCAACAGAATAAACCTTCATAGAGGCAAATAAAGTGATGAACAAAAACATTTTATATTCTAAAAAAAATAATATTTTGGAGAATTAAATAGTATAACTGTTTGCCTCACAAAACATGAGTTGAAGACTTTTTATGGTTGCAGTCTTCAACATATTCACCTCTTACTCTATCTAGCTGATGTTTTTGTGAGAGCAGATTAGTTGAATTGCTATGTTAATGCTAGCATATTTCCTTTATGTTTTGATCTGAATTTTGATAACAAATTGATAGCAAATCAAAATGAGGTTACATTAAATTACAGGGAGCGGTTCCCTTGCTTTTTCACTTATAGCATTAATTAGCCTAAACAATGATTTGTATATCCCATTTAGAAACAGACTTCTTTAGAAATCTGTTAGAAATTTCACGTCTCACTTGTAAACCATTTTCATGGTCCTTAGACTAAAGGTGTTTCCATATATTTATGTCTATATATAACATGAATCACAAATCCTTTAAAAATCCTACAATCAGAAAAAAGATGGCACTACATTTAAGCACCAAGTGTTTTATTCAAAATTGTTTGTGGACAGGAAATAATCTTAGATTGTTCACTTCTAATTCTGAAGAATCTTCATTCTGTTTTTTTTTTTTTTCAGGTGGAGCTCACAGGTCACAGCATCTTTGACTTTACCCACCCATGTGACCACGAGGAGATAAGAGAAAACCTTAGTCTGAAGTCAGCAGGTGAGCAATCAATCTTACCAACCCACATTACAGCTGTCAGACATTTTTACATAAACAAATATCACGCTTATTCTGCTTGATTTTAATCTAACAATAACATCATATTTTTATACAATTATTAAAGCTTTGTGTAAGCTCACCATCTGAGCATTAGTTATTCCACAGAAGCAGATTTGTAGTTATTTGTGAGGTAAAGTACACAGCTATATTTTTGATTTGTAGTTTGAAACTAATGGAGATGTCTTGGAGGCATGATTAAACATCTAATTTTCATTAAACTTCTGGATGGATGGATGGATGGATGGATGGATGGATGGATGGATGGATGGAGGGAGGGAGGGAGGAGGGAGGGAGGGAGGGAGGGAGGGGGGGAGGGAGGGAGGGAGGGGGGGGGGGGAGGGAGGGGGGGGGGAGGGAGGGAGGGAGGGAAATTTGAGTGAAACAAAGTTCCCCTTGAGTCAAAACAAGGGAACGTAACGCAGATCCATGCATTACGTGAATCTGTGTTACGTTAGATCCACGTAAAGCAAGGATCAAATACATGCATTATGTGATTAGATCCATACAACACATTTTTCAACACACCAGCATATACAGCCAGTTACAAGAGTGTCACAGTAGTCGTGTAATTTGAATGAACCATTTTCAATGGTGGAAATCTGTATAACTGCAAAACAGCTGAAAAGTTGTGTATATCTGTTGGGAATGGAAATACACATTTCTATAGGTTAGGAAACCTGTGAATGACTAAATAAATGCAGAATTCTGCTCTTTTACCTGGAAACCAGGGCAGTATAAGCACACATCAGGGTTAATGTTTGAGCAAAAAATCACCAGATTTAGTGATGCTGCGCTGCTGAATTGGAAAAAAATGAGACTTTGCCAACTGCAGGCAAGATCACAAAAAGGGATGTACATCTCAATGGTTGTAGATCCTTTTTTGTGTGGCTTTTCTAACATGTGGAAGCTTTAAAAACAACAGATTTTAAGGGGAAACAAACTATTTTTTATTCTGTAATTATGATTGGTTACTTCTCCTGCTTTGTGGCAGATCTACTAAGCCATATGAAAGCATAAATAATGTTAGTTGTCACAAGATGTGTTAGTATGCAGAACTGGTGGACCTTTAAATCAATATCCTGAAGAATGAGCTTTTAAGTTATAGTATTTAACGGTGGATTTTGCATTTCTGATCAATGCTCGCTGGTTGAAGAAGCTTGGGGGAAAGTGCCATGAAATGAGATATGATCCTAAAATTCACAGTAGTCTGGAGCAATAATGGAGCCATCGTCATCCTTATCCTTTGAGCCCTATCAGGGGAACTGATTGCAAATCTTGCCTCTTCCTAAGCAGTAAATAAAACCCATGTGTTCGGCCTTTCAGCCTTTTAATCTTCTCTCAGAGGCCCTTAGCGCTTTCATTTCTACTCCACAAGACCACACAAAGTCACATAACTAGCTGAGAAATTTCTAAAACTTTCCCATCACTGTTGACTCAAAAAGGAGCTTCAAAAAATATAAATGTGATCGACCTGTCAAAAAGATATGGCTCAAAAGACTCATAATATGTTAAAGCAAGACAGACCCAGAGTTTTATAGAACTTTGTAAGCAAATAATACATAAAAGAATAAACATTTAAATAATTAAATGTTGGACAATGTTGAGTCAGGCTTTGAAGAAATTCAACGACTGTGGCTGCATTTTGGTAAACTGATATAAAAACAATGTTGCATAACCTTCAATATAGTGCAATTGAAAAGTATTTACATTCATTGAGATTTTTCAGATAAAGTTACATTATAGCCACTCATTTCATTGAGAATGTCATGTAATGTGTCATAGGGTATGTCTTTGCTAACTCTTAACATCTGGAAACATTCTTATTCACAAAACAGCTTAAGCTACTTTAGGTTGGTTGGAGAGCATGTGTTAGCATCCATGCTTTGATTCTCAGTTGGACTGAACTGGATTTGGACTGTTCTAACATGTTGCAAATATTCAATTGCCGTTTTTGGTAACACTTTGACTGGATGTGCATAAGACTGACACGACATTGTCATAAACATTACATAACATTTGCCATGAACATGAATGAGTCTTAATGAAAGTTTATGACTGTTATGAAGTGTCATTCGGTAAATAACTTTTAATGCAAAGTTGCATTAAAAGTCCATTAAAATTACAAACTTTGAATTATTTGGTAAGTAATGAAACTTTTAATGCAACATTGGCACTTTTGATTGATTTTTAATGCAACTTTTAAAGCAACTTTGCATTAAAAGTGTCTTAATTTTCCGAGTGACACTTTATGACAAGTCATAGATATTCATAAAGACTCCTTCATGTTCATGATGTTATGTCATGTTTATGACAATGTCATGTCAGGCTTATGGACACCCAGTCAAATAGTGTTGTCCGTTTTCTTCTGTATGTTTATGACTATCTGCATTTCCATAAAAATATGCTCACAACAAATGTTTTGGGCACAAAATACAATTTTGTTCTGCTAATTGTTTTTGTGAAAATGTGTGGAAAATGGTGGTGACAAATGTAAACACCTATATGACATATATATTTCAACCACAACCCTAGAGCTCACCAACAGCCATCAGAGGAAACATTGGAGCAACGAGTCATTTACACATGGGAACTGCTCTATAACTTGTATACAAATGTGTTTTTTGGACTTTGTAGTCGGTGGTTTTACAGAAGTGATGGATTCAATTCTTTGGACAACTTCTTGGACAATCGATTGCTGGATTGTCCAAGGAGGTTTGTGCTTACAAATGAACTAATTGCAGCTGCAATCACACTGGTGACTCATGTGATGCAAAACAGTGTTTCCATTGCAGTTTGGTAAAGCAAAAAATTGACATGGCTGAAAAACCACCTCACCCTAACGTAGAAACATTTTATCAAAAAATGTGTTCCATTCAGTAAATTTATTTTCGTAATTTCAATTTTCACAATTTCATGACCTGCGAACTTACTTCCATGGCTTGAGTAACTTGGAGCGTAAAACAGGTTTTTTTCCAGCTCTGCCTGTTCTTTAACTGCATTCATCTAACAATAAACTCTAACCTGCTAATATTCAAGGACAGCCTTGCCACAGCATAATGCTGCCCCCACCATGTTTCATCCTGGAGATGGGATGTTCAGTTTAACACCACACATAACATTTTGGATGTTGACTTTGGTCTCGTAAGCAGAGCAGGCTCCTCCTCCACATGTTTGATTTGTCCCCTATATGGCACATAGCAACCTGCAAACTGGACTTTTCATCACTTTCTTTCAACAATGTTCTTCTTGTTGTCAATATTGCATAAAAAAATATATTAGTAAAGTGTTTGACAAACGGCTTCTTCCACCTGAGCCAGGGATCTTTGCAGTTTGAGTGAACAACAAACAAGGTTTGCTGTTGTGCCACACTGTTTCCTTTTCTTTGTGAGGTATTTAATGATTGGCATAAAGTTTGTAACGCTCAGGAGTCTTAACTTAATTTGCAGGTTTAGACCTGTTGTTCTGAGCTCTGGATTAAAGTAAAGAAAACTCACAGCAGTTTCATTGTTGCATAACGATAGGGTTAGGGCGTTGCATAATCCTGTATTTTTAATAAACAAACGTCCAGTAAAAGGATGACAGAAGGTCAGAGGTTACATACTGTAGAGTGTAACTTAAAGACAGATACAGCATTCTTTGTAGTTTCAAAGATCTACAAGAGCATTCTTTGTAGTTTCCTTGGACTGAATCAAATGAAAAAGAATAAGAAGTAGTCGTGTTTTGGTGAGGAAAGATTCCAGTATGTCTGCACCAGAGATTTGACTCACACAGAAGGTTTTCTGCTTACTCTCCAATCAGAGAGTAAGCAGAATATCATTTGTTGGTGAATGCAATTCACCAACAAATTAATGAATCACCTATTTGTTTGACTATAAACCCAACAACTTCACTGGGTTTATAGACCTCTTCCGCTACTAGTTTACTCCTCATTTTTACATTTGTGCTTTCTCTTCATTCAAAAATACGTTTTTCCCTCTTTGTTTGGTGTGAAGATAAAAATGCATTCTGGGAATGGCGCATTGGTGAAAGACACCGCACAACGCCTGGCTTTGTGGCTGCAACTCCACAGCTGAACTCTGACCTCGTGAAGTTCAACTTAATTCCGTGTCCTGTTGGATTGTTTTGCAGTTCACACATGGGGTGGCAGATATCTGGAGTGTTGACTTGAACTTTTTTTTAAACACTCTGCTGTCGAGTAGCAGGATGCATGCTGCATTTACAAGATACGCCAGTGAGGGTTAGAAAACTATTTCAAGAATAGGAACTTTGTCACTTAAAACAAATATCTAGGCTTAAAGAGAATTATTTTTAGGTTTTTAGTATGACTGTAATATATTTTGAAAGCATCAGAATATAATTTGATACGTGTGGGAGTTTAAAATGAAAATGTCGACAAAGAGACAAATTGCACAGAATCCATTCATTATATCAGTATGGTGTGTATTGTGGCCTGTATGTAACATTTGGCCCTTTAAATGTCCTCCACAGGAAGTGTTAACTCTTTACATCAATGTTTCAAGAGTTTGCCTACTGCTCTACCAGAGAAAACAAGTCATTGGATTTGTTTTACACAGACCAAAAGGATTTGTACATTTCCAAAGGCAGATCTTCTCTAAGAAATGGAGACCACCACCTTCCTTGTTTTCTCTGATCAGAATAAAAACATCTTTTTTCAGAGACAGCCTATAAAATGGTCATAGCAAGTTGAAGAAACCCTACAGGATTGTTTTGCGGTTAAAGATTTGATTTCTCCTTACCAGCCACATGGTTGGTCATCTATGCCATGACTAAATGTGTGACTGACTGTACAAACCATGTGGACAGCAGCATCCCCACCAGAACTCTGAGATGCTTCCCTAATGATTCAGGGAGGCACCGAGGGAATTATTGAGAAGTATGCAGAGGCAGCTCAAAGACACAATAATATTTCATTTTCCTTTGGGATCAATAAAGTGTTCTTGAATTTTGGGCAGTTTTTAGTGTGGGGAAAGAAAATCATTTCTTTCAATGAAGGAGGCATCTCTTGGTTTCTATTCAAGGTACAACAAACAGATGTGGATTTTTCTCAGAAATATGAGACTGGTACCACAATGTGAAGGTTTTTAGTAAAACATGAATTAAAGTATGTCTTTACAAAGTTGAAGCAATTACCTCTGTTGGTGAAAAACAGACTGAGACTTGTTGTCAGGAATTAAAGCTTGACGTGAAATAATCGGACTAAACACAGTGAAATATGACACATTTGAATAGTTTTGGTAAAATATATTGAAGTCCCTGGAAATAGTTTTTCTTTTTTTTTGGCTTTGTCTGTGTTCATGTACAGTAAATGTCAAAGAATTTGGACTGTTTGTGTATTTTGGGAGATTTTCAGTGCCTTTTGAACAGCAGGAATAATGCTTTTAGCTTTTTACAATTCCATTGGAGCTCATTTAAAATTAATTTCAAGCTGCACTACTATTTTCATTTTCACTGCAAATCTACCATTTACGGACAAAAATACTTTTGAATATTTTCAAATTACCTGTTCAAAAGATTAAACATGATTAGAATGAGTTTTGCTGTTTGAGGTAGGTTTTAATTTCGCTTGAATAATTCCTGCCCCCCCTCCCACACATCTTTTTTTCTTATTAAAAACAGAAACATTGTATTTAATCACTACAACTGGCATTTAGATGATTATCAATTCTGAAAATTCATGCATTGTATATTTATGTATGATGATCATAGTTTTAAAAGAGTAAGAAAAATTAAACAGTTCAAATTTGCCGTTTGTTTGGTATCCCTTAAAACTTCATGTTTGTATGGCCAAAGGAAGCAGAATTAAGAAACCCTCCAAAGCTTTGTCATAAATCTAGTTTCAGTGATCAATACAGTGAGTCAAATCAGCTGTTGCCAGAAGAATACACAACTTACACCTTTTGTTTTTAAATTTGTACTTTGTGAAGTTGTGAAGTTTTGCCAATAGTCCAGACCTGGACACCACGCACTGTTGTGTACAGAGACAGAAATTCTTAAGAAATCTCAGCTCACAACAGCTAAAACTGGAAACCAAATACACGTGACCTTTGACCCCTCAAACTGCATATTATATTATCATGATGGAATGATCGGCAGATGAGGTGCAGTACTTTGGAAAACCATCAACTTTCATCACAGTCCAGCCGGCATTCACCTTCATTTGTACAACAAAAAAAGTACGACATTTTTTGTACTTCTTTTTAGTACAAGTACATATAAAGTCTGAGCAGTAACGAGACTTTTTGGTCCACAAACTAAAGAACTAGAAGGACAACAGAGTCAGACTAGACCACCATACAGATAAGTCCTGCCTCTATCCTTTGACATTTAAATAAATATAGAGCTGCGGAGAACTTTCCAAAATTTTAGCTGTAGCAGAAAAGAGACTGGAGCAACTGAAATCTGGTCTTTTTCTACAAGTCTGAATCAATTCTGATCCTCCATTACTGATATCAACATTGCTACAGTAAAATTCAAACCTCTTCAGACACTTATAGGGGGACAATGTTGGTTGCACTCGATTTTATTTATGAAATCAGAACAAAAAGCATGGTTCACTTTAGATTTTTTTTTTTTATTTAAAAGATTGTTTGCAACTATGTGTCGTTTTTGTTCAACTTCATAAATTTCTGCTATGGGTTGGTGTATCAGAAAATCCTGATAAGGGTTTGTGTTTGTAATACATTTCTGTAAATTCCTACCAAATGTTTTTTGTGACAGATGCTGGAGAAACAAATGTACCATTTAAAAAAATAGGTGTTGGGTTACTATGGACATGATTTAGCTATTATCAGAATTAATGTGATCTGCTCTTCAGGAAGAGATTCTGTGAAATCTTGGTCCACCTTAAATTATTACTCTTGGGTTTTCTAGGGAGCTTCTGTAAAAAAGGCAAAGACCAGAGCACAGAGCGAGACTTCTTCATGAGGATGAAATGCACAGTGACCAACAGAGGACGTACCGTCAACCTCAAGTCAGCAAGCTGGAAGGTAAGGCTTGAATGGACGGACATAAGACAGCATTCAAACCGATTCTATCATAAAGCCGCCGGAGGCAAAAATATTCCAACATTCCCATCCCTCCAGGTGTTGCACTGCACCGGCCAACTGAAGATGTACGACGGCTGCCAATCGCAGGTTCTCTGCAGCTATAAGGAGCCTCCGCTCACCTGCGCCATCCTGATGTGCGAACCCATCCCACATCCGTCCAACATCGACGGGCCGCTGGACAGCAAGACGTTCCTGAGCCGACACAGCATGGACATGAAGTTCACCTACTGTGATGAAAAGTAAGCAGGCGTCACTATAGCAGTAATGCCACTCAAGTGTGCTTTTCTGAGCCAACACCAAAATAAGAATCCTTAAATACCTCTACCAACTGCAGAACTGAAGTATTTCTAGTGTGTACTTGACTATATAAAACCTCTCTTTTTTTAACTTGCAAGAGTTTGTAATTCTTTTTAGGTTGAAAACTTTTAAAGTATCTTAAAATTCAGAGTGACTTCACAACCAGCTTTCTGCATGTGGGCAACAGCTTGTGTAACAAACCAATGGGCTCTACTGGAGGAGAAGTCACTCCCTCTCCATTCATTTTCTATGGAACTTGCAATGAGGTGACAATTGATTACCCTCTATCAGTCAAGAGACTGGTGAAATTCGTACATGTGAAGTTTTGACTTTGTACGCGTAGATGCACACATGCAGGCTAAGCTGCACAACACAAGAAAGTTGAAAAATATCCAACTTTTGTTACTGTTGGATTGACCCTAACTGCTGGAAATCTATCACTGTCGCTCTCTGTTTATTGAGCCCATAACACATAGAAACCGGCATTTCTTACTTTATTCAATGATCCTCTCCACTGTCTTCACCACTCTTCGCAGAGCCTTCCAGTCTGAGGCCTTGCAGACATATTAGATGTCTGAATCAGTCTTAGTGAGAAACTTCCAGTGTGTCATATTTTGACTTTGTTAGTTTTTGTTATTTACAACTCATAAGTTCAAAACTATTCTCTTGATGGGTACTAGAGCTAAGGAAATCATCAAACAACATTTCTTAATGCAGACACATGACTTACTCTTTTGTATCGTGTTGCTTCGAATCATTAAAATTTGCGGACCTTTCTTTCTGAACAGCTGTATGGAAGTCTGGACTTTGAAAGGATCTATAGAATACCTTGATTATTTCACCATTATTTGCCTTTTGTAAATCTTAACATTTTATTATGCATTAACAAAATGCATAACAAAATGGTCAGTCATATGACTGCAAAGGCATCCAGGTCCTGGAACACCACCCTACATCATCATCCCTCTACCACCGTGCTGATGAGAGGCATTTGGAATTTGATCTCAGACATCAGTCTAAGGGACTGATGTTCTTGCAGTCAAACTTTTGTCTCTCCAAGCAACCCTTCCCTACAAACCATATTGCCTTTTTTGTCCTTTAACACTTAATGTGACTGAGTCCAACGTTGGGTTTTTAGTTTGTTTTTGGGGTTTTTTTTTCTAAGCATGCCCTGAGGTGCAAACCACTTCAACATTAACATAGCACAATTACAAATGACAAAAACACAGTATTTTAAGTTAATGTCACTGATGCAATCTCTCACACACATATACAGGAATAAAAAACAAACAAACAAAAGACAACTTTTTGAGCTTTTTTTAAAAGGTTTTATTGGCTCTGATGGGCTTTTTTTGATAGTTAATTGACAGGAAAGTGGGTAATAAGAGAATGGGAAGACATGCAGCAAAGATCACAAGGCCAGAAATCAAACATGTGACAACCTCATCGAGGACCAAGGCCTCAATATGAGGGATGTGCTTAATCCCTGCACATCAACGTTTTGAACTTTTTGATGTGTTTAATTGTTTTGGGGCACAATAATTTCTTTTGATACAGTTGATTCTGATTAATCATTTTTATTGATGAACACACACACACACACACCTATTCTGTGATGTATTCATGCACCTATTAATATAATTCCATAATTCAATATGCATTTGCTATTTCAAGATACAAATAACTTCATTCAAATTTTTAGGCATTTTTTGTAAAGGCAAACTTTTTGATAATGGTTGTCAAACGTTAGCTACATATTTTTACTTTGAAAAATATTTATGGCAGTGTAATATGTTACCTGTGCCTTTCATTCACACTTGGACAGTGTGAACGAAATCTAGCAGACTGAATTAATTTTAATTTCTTTACATAAACTGTCATAATACCCTAATACTTCAAATTGAGATATCTCACTTAAAATACACAAAAAGTGAAAGAAAAAAGTATACAGTAATTTACAAATGTATTTATATTCTACTGGCAACAGAGCACAGGCAAGGGTTCAGTCTGCTGGGCAATTTGGGAACAGTTCAGTGACTGGGCCTTCTGAGACATCTGGCTAACCACAGGTTAGACTTTAGACTTACTTTATTCAATGATCCTCTCCACTGTCTTCACCACTCTTCGCAGAGCCTTCCAGTCTGAGGCCTTGCAGCTCCCAGACCAGATGGAGATACTGCTGGTCAGCAGGCTTTCAATGGTTCCTCTGTAGAAGGTGGAGAGGATGGGAGGTGGGAGGGAAGTCCTTCTCATTCGTCTCAGAAAGTGCAGGCGCTGCTGTGCGAGTGAAATGATGTGAGTTGTTCAGCTGAGGTTGTCTGTAATGTGAACCCCCAGGAACTTAGTACTGTTAACGATCTCCATTGCTTAGTCATTAATGAGGAGTGGTTTGTGGTTAGGTCGAGACCTTCTGAAGTCGACGATGATTTATTTTGTCTTGTCGACATTCAGGAGCAGGTTGTTTATTCTGCATCAGGCCACAAGATGTTTTACCTCTTTTCTGTAGTTCACTTCATTGTTGTCCTGAATTAAACCCACAATTGTTGTGTCATCTGCATATTTAATGATATGGTTTGTGTTAAACCTGGGACAACAGTCGTGGGTCATCAGGGCAAACAGCAGGGGGCTCAAGACACAGCCCTGAGGATAACCAGTGTTCAAAGAAATGACAGCAGAATTGCCAAGTCTCGACCGGTCCGCTGTGATAAAAAGGTTGGGGACCACTGCTTAAGAGGGAGGTTGGCTACAACCTCTTGAGCTTTACCATGGATTTTCCACTGTAGAAGTAGTTACCAAACATCAGGTAGCCACTGCAAAACTTGCGCTATCCACTCAAAAGCAGAAAAGTACGAAGCAATTTCTGTAACTCGTGTACTAAAGCCACATATTTTTTAACGTCAAAGGGTCTAAATAAAGATATTACTTAACCAGAGAGAAAGAAAAATAAAATCCCCAGAACATGAAACTAATTGTTTTAGTTACAGTTCCCACTTGGTAGTAGACCAGATGAGTTATTAGTCTCCTTCAGGGAGGTAAAGTCCTGTGTAACCCCATCATGGGTAATCTGCAACCAGGCCGGATGGAGCAGGCCGAACCAGACCCCCTCAATGCCAGGGAGCTGACGATGGCAGTCCATGAAAGCCGCCCACGCTCAGACAATCCTGGCAATATAACCGCGGAAAACGAAGACAGTCCTACCGTTCACCTTGACCCGCTGAAGCTCCTTTGCCATCGACAGGATTTTAACACAGTCAGTGTAGTAATGTAGCTTGGCTACAATGGTGCGATGCTGCTCACCTGCCTTGGGTCTATGAATTGGAATACGGTGAGCGCAAAATAGCAGCAGCTCTTCCACGAATCTAAAGGCATCCTTTAGCAACCGAAAGGTGGCAGACATTGAAGCCGACAAAGGGTCATCCTCTGGGACACCGATGTTGCAGATGTTTTGACACTGGGACTCCAAGTCATCACATTTATTCTCTAACTGTGCCACGGTTTTAGTAAAGCTGCCACTTTTTTCTGGAAGCTGACAAAGTCATCAGTGAAGGTGGATAGGGATTTCTCCATCTCAGCAAACGTTACCTTTAGCCCCATGAAACTCTAGAGGCCAGAGCAGTGGTCCCCAACCACTGGTCCGCGGACTTATTGGTACCGGGCCGAGCAAGAAATAATTAAACATTTCCGTTTTGTGTATTATTTGAGTCTTTTATTTTGAAAATCCTTTAACGGATTTTCTTGGTTACATCTTGCGCGCCAACATTGAGCCACAAGCAGCAAAATGAGTCAGAAACAGATCAAATGTAAAGTTTCTTTACAAAGGGAAAAGGCCCAGAGAAGAGACATGAGAATGGATTTATTCCGGGAGGTGATTCCCACATTCCAAGCCCGCTCTGCATGATATGGTGACCGGCTCGCTAATGAGGGAATGAGGCTTTCAAACTGTGCTTGGTTTCCACAAGAGGAGTAAAGCTTGAGAGGAGTAAAGCTTGTGAGTTTTAGATCTGGTTCATACGGCACAATTTAAGGATTGTTGGCCGATATTCCGAACTTCTGTGACCACACATGAGCCGATAAAGTCGGTTCGTGTGTCCAGCCACACGGGAGGAGCAACACACCACACACAAACCGATTCCACTCACGAACATCCCGATTCCAGATGAAAATCCAGTATAACCCCCAACATACCATACGTGAATTTAGAATAGCTAATCAAACAAGGATGATGATGTTGAAGCAGTAGTGATAGTTTGTGGATTTATTTTAAGCAATAAAAGACATAACAAAAAGAAAAGGTGTTTGATAAAAGATGGTGGGAGCAGCCGCTCCATTTGCTGCACTGTGATTTGGAGGTGAGTTATGTTTTTTCATAGTTAAAATATTTAACTGAATAAACATAACCACATGTATAAAAATGACCTTTAGATATATTAATAAACACTTCCACATATCACCTTTGATGTCCGCTGTTTGGGATTCCCTGCGTGCTTACCTCACCGCGCTTTCTAACTGGCTACCTGTCACATTCAACAGGTTGCGTTCAGTTAGGAAAAACCCCACATGCTGCGATAATCAAGCCAAGATAATGTTGAATATGCCCGATTTAGATTGGGCAGATCACCACCACTAACACACCACACACTGCAGGACGTTATAAGATTGGGAAAAAAAAATAAACAAAAAAGGCTATATAATGGTTCTTGCCCTGCCTTCCACCCCCAGCCGCAGCAAAATGGCCAAGTCTTGTCCGGACCGTGGTAATAAAAAGGTTGGGGACCCCGGGGCAGTGGACAATTCTATTTTGAAGGATAGCAGCTCAGACTTAATCTAATAGAGACTTTCACTAAGGACAGCATGAAACTCTGCTTTAAGTCATCCTGAAGAGCTCCTTTTTAAGATCGCTGACGTCGCTAACTGCAGCAGCCTCTGGACTGGAAGGGACTCA